TCCGCATCCCTGCCCCCGTGAGTCAGTGCCTGTGAGTCAAGGAAGCCGAGCCCGGTGGCAGACCCACTTTCCCGGGCTTTGCTGTGCCAAAAGAGAAAGCCACTTTCTCCAGTCATCCCAGGCCTTTCTCTTCCCTGCTCTGCCAGCACCCGTGGCTGGCTGTGCCAGCACCCATGGCTCTCCATGCTTTCCAGAGGACCCATCTCGCTCATCCCACCTGCAGCATTCAGATGGCTGCAAGGATCTCTCTGTGCTTGGGAAAAGCCCCTGGGTTAAAACTAAAGGGCACCTCTCCGATGGGACGGGCACCCAGCCAGTCCCTGCCTTTGTTCCCTGTCCCAGCCTCAGGGCAGCCCATGCCCCGGCTTCCCAAGGAGCCTCATCCCTCAGGGTCCCCTCTCCCCTGCAGTGATGTGACGTTCGTGGTGGGCCAGGAGCAGCAGAAGGTGTTTGCGCATCGCTGTGTGCTGGCGTGCCGCTGCCAGGCTTTCCAGGGGATGCTCAGCCAGGGGCTGGCGGGCAGCGAGGACCCTCCCGGCAGCATCCCACCCCAGGGCCCCTTCGTCCTGGGCAACGTGCAGCCTGAGGTCTTTCTGGCCGTCATCGAGTTCCTCTACACCAACAGCGTCACCCTCAACAGCCACATAGTGAGTGGGAATGGGGCTGGCAGGGACCGTGGGCACGGGAGGGACAAGGTGGGGATGCAGGTGTAGGAGGTGCTGTGCAGCTCCTGGGGTGCCGAAAGTGGAGGGGATGCTCTGCATGATGCTTTCTGGCTGACAGTGCAATGAGTGTGTGGGGTCTCAGCCCAGCATAGTGGGGTGTCCAGAGCACCTTGTCCTACATGTGTCTGCCCCAGCCTTGGGACAGCTGGCTGTGCACACCCTGGATGCTGGGAATAGGGGCACAAGAGCTGGACACCTTCATATGCCCCCATGCAGCAGCCCCTTTGCCCCCCCACCCCCCCCCCCAGTCTGTCTTGCCTGCAGGCTCTGGAGGTACTGACCTCGTCGGTGGAGTATGGCCTGCAGGACCTGTGCAAGGTACGGACCTGCTTAGACGTAGGGGGTGGTGGTCCCCACGTGTCCCTGTGCTGAGGAGCACCCCAAGATGGTCCCTGCATGGCTGGTGGCTGGAGGTGGCTCTGAGGACGGCACTGGGTGCGTCACCCAGCTCCATCACAGGCTCAGCCCCTGCTGCTCCATCCCGGAGGGTCTGTCCAGTGGGATCTCCCTTGAGGGGGTGCAGCACCAGCCGGCAGCCCTGCAGGGGCTGGGGAATCCCAGGGAAGAGTGTGGGGCCTCGTGTCTCCCGCGTGGCAAAGGGCAGCAGGAAAGCCCCTACGTCATCGCCCACGGGTGCCGTCCGGGCATCTGGCAGGGTGATGCCGTCGGGAAA